GCTATAGTGAGCTCACAATACAGACACATGAACATCAGTGTAGGCACCAGGAAGGCAGCCAGAGGCATCAGTCCACAGAAGTCCAGGAATAAACGTGAAGTTGCCAATAAATTGGAACCTAACTACATATGTGTGGAAACCACAGAATGCTACATCAATTTAACTCCACCCACCCTTGGGCAATATTCTATTCCACGAGCAGCCAGCATGGAAGCAACAACAAATGCATATTTGGAAAATAATTTCATGGCACCATTGGCTCTATAGGCGAAAAATAGCATACAAAAGCTTACGTTGGAAGTGTAACCAAGTGGTGGTGGTAGATATCTGCTGAAGTAAGTGTGCTGTTAAGAGCACAAACGAGAATATTCACAGAACTATTTAAACTAGTGAGCCAAGCCTGTGTGTCTCTGTATACTTAGAAACAGAAGTAAAAAAATCCCAAACACCTACTGTGGTTAACTGCAAATAGCAGTCTTTTGAAAAAATCCGTGATGTGGCTGATAAGGTTAGATTTTAAAGGAGGAAAAAAAAAAACCCCACAACACTCTCCCCCTGCACATACATTTTTATATATTATTTCTAATGATTCCTTTGAAATTTCTTTTGACTCTTCTAGCACCATTCCTGATAGATTGTACTTCTGCATAAAAGCCATCCAAAAAAAAGACCCTGAAATGACAACATGTTAATTTAATTTGGAAGTGGCAAAGAAAGAGCACTATTAAAGTTGAAAAGTTCTACTCCCAGTTGTAAACAACTTTAGCTTTACAGTCAAATCCCAAGCATTTCAGCAGAAGGACTAGAAAAAGTGGTGCAGCTAAGCTGAGAGTGTTATGACACACAGGAATTCAGGTTCAAAAGGAACCATCTGGTTCATTCAGTTCACTGCAACTTCAATAGATTTTTAGTCCTGAAAGGTCAACACTACATCCATATATACAAACTGGAACACTTCCAATGCACTGTAACACATTAAAAATCTTTTTAAATAGTGGAAGTTACTTAAAGGAATGTAATGATAGGATGTCAAAGGAAGTAACACAGAGAACTGTGCACAAGCAAGTAGGAGAGATCACCAATGTCCTGTATCTCTGAAGTGACCTTTGAATTATTTTATACTTAATTTGGAATTCTAAATAAGCCTAAGAACTATTTTGAATAATTGTGTTTCAATTATGTAAGACAATGGTGACAAAATTTAGATCTGATCCAATAACTGTCACTAGGTCTGCTAGTGTGGAGGAGGTGATAAGTATCCACTTTCAGCTCTGAATTTCTTGTCTTTATGTTAAATCCTCTTCTACATTAAAAAAAAAAGATTTAAAAATCCCAGTTTTCATCTTCTCTGTTCTGCCTACAGCCACCCTACCTCTGTGTTTCCCATCTGTCTACTCCTTTCTTGCTGTTCTTCAACTAAGTAACTCCCAAAAGATCTCCCTGGCTCTGCTTGGCAGTCTAACTTGGCCCCATCACTACAACAGGCTAGAAAGGTTGCAGATAACGTAAGCAGTCTTTCTACAGCTTTCTTACCTTAACCTATCTGTAGTTTCAGATAACAAACATTAGGTACACCTTTTTTTTTTGAGCATGAATGAGGATTTCCTTCTAATCAGTTCAGTATTTAGTATTATCAATTTAAAAAAAAAAATCCAGTACATAGTTAAAATTGGTATTTGATGAAAGAATCTCCTTTACTCTCCCATCTTACTCTGTTCACTATTTGATTCTTTCAGTGCTTCACTACCTCATCTCTTCAAAGCCTAAGGGTATTCTCCCTGCTCAGCATCTCTATCCGTATTTACAAAAATGCAGATATACAACAATTATGAGATAATGTATTTTCAATTCAACACAGAAAGAAAAACACTTAATTTGTGCAATTAAGTGTTTGTGTTACAAACCAAGCAGTAACTAAAAGTAGTTATCACAATGGCTGTTGTTTCATTTTCTGTTCCATGTCTTGAATGAAACTATAACTAGGCAGGATATTTTATATTCACAAATATTTATAAGTCCCTTTACAAGTCAGTTTCTATGTGTATTCTTTCAACTGACAAATGCAGTTCTAAACAGTAAATTATCAAATTCCTTTTAGCAAAGGCCAAACTAAATTAATCAAAGGAAACTAAGAACACAAAGGTAATCCAGTCACTACGTTTACCTAATATACTGCAACCCTGGGAAAAACGGTACAACAGTCAAAGGCTGATAAAGGTGTTTCCAAGATAGGTGTTGCAATACTCAACATAAAGCCCTGTGTCACTTTAAATAGAAAATAAAATCCAGAGCTAACAACCATTGTGTCACATTCGTTATACCACATCACAGGAAAATGGAAGGACACCAAGTACATTCTGTTATCTAAAGATACAGTTCACTTTAGACCGTTTGGGGACACAGCCACAGCTAAACTGACATCCCCACATTAACTTGCCCTTACTAAAGGAAAACTTTTTCTTAATTGGTAATACAAACTTCTTGCAGCAACGAAAACCATTATTGCTTCATAGTCATCACAAACAGCAAAAACCACAGTGGCAGAAAGAGTTGTTCCCTACCCCTTACCTTTGTGCCATGATCATACCCATCTAAATAACGAACTGCACTTGACCCTAACAAATGGCATCATCTTTCTGATCAAACTGTTTGGAACTCTAATATTGCCCTCAAACACACACAGTGTCAGGCAGGCCTCTCCCTAGTTGCTCCATTGCCTACTGAAATTACCAATGATATTGTATGTTTCATAATATAAACTACAGATGTATATAAAACAACAGGCCTCACTCAGATCCCTGCAAAACCCCACTAGGAGTGAGCCACACATAAGGGCTCTTCCAATACACTTATGAAGCTTTTCAGTGCCCACCATACAATAATTTTATTTAGATCCTGAATGCTTCTCCTCGTCAGAGAGAAACTCTGCTGAAGTCAGGACATCTGCTGTTTCTTCCTTACTCATAATATGTTATCCTGTTGCAGAAAGACATTAGATGCGTCTAAGATCATTCAATCTCACAAAATCCATGTTGGCTGCTACACATCAACATGAGGGTGGGGGAGCTGAAGGAGGGATAAATTCCCCATAACAGCAATTAAAAAAAAATAAAATTAAAATCCATCTACTGAATAGAGTTAGCCTACAGAAAATGAAAAGCAGAGATCACACCTCTTACCTTTCTTCATGAACATGAGTATCAAACACCTGGGTATTACAAAACTGACTGCATGGTCGTAGAACAGGATTGTTCTTTAAAATAAGATGACTTAGAAAAAAAATTGGACTGACACTTGAAAAGTTTGACTGCCAAAGTAAGAACAGTTGAGCTTTGTTTCAAAGGTTAGCGATCTGAACATTAAGAGATGGGAGACCTAGATTCAGCTTCCTCTGCAAGAGAAGAATTGAAACCTGCAATCCTTAGATCCAAAGAGCATTTCAATCACAAGTGCAGGGAACAGCCTAGGTGAGTAATTTTTTAAACCCTTTCTTGAAGCTCTATATATAGGGAGAATGACAAGCAGAACACTCAGCTGGAAAGGAAAAGTCTTCTGTTTTGTCTCACTGTCATGTGTGTGTATATACTCTGCAGCTTGTATTTTAACATAAGCATTTTTACATATTCATACAAATAACATTTCATTCAATAACACTCCATAAATGTACATTTTGTGTGAAAGTGTGTGTGGTCTTATACGAAGTCACTGAGTTTTACTTCCTTTTGAAAGTTTTAACACAGCTTTCAGTGGAAAAAAATTTGAAAGAGTCCATGGAACATTATAGTCCTTACAGTCCTAAAGTAACTGCAGTCTTTGAGATTCATGGAGCACTTCTTCCTCTGACCACTAGTTGTACTTTCAGTAAGATGCACACACTCAAAGGGGAGCAACAGATATGCCTCAAAACCTAGGTGACTAAATCACCCTAGGATACTAAAGCTATTCACACACACTCAGTTGGCAGACAGAAACAAGGGATTTCTGCCTTTCTAGAGAGCTACCTGGAGGTAGCTGGAAACCTGAAACTGCACTGAATGCCTACCTCCAGACAACAGAATTCTATTATTAATTTTGAAAACAGGTATAAACTACAGGCAAATCAGAATCACAAACTACTTTCCAACTGCCTTAAGACATAATCTGAAGGTAAATTTCACTACAATAACCAGAGTATTCAAAGCATTAAAAAAAAAAAAAGCCAAAAAACCTGCAATAACCAGTTAACCGTAAGTTACCTAATCACTGGATTTCATTTAGACATTTAGAAATACATTAACTGGACCTTTATTTTGATTTGAAAGGGTAAAAATATAAAGCAAACTACTGTGCAGCTACTACCTACTCTGTTCCTGAAATACAGACTGTCACAAGTGCTGATTTGACCTTGGAGAAACTAATTTCATCTGAAGACATTAGCCACAAATTTATCCCTGTTCCCCATGACCTCTCACAAAACATGTCTTTATACAACCTTTTCTCCTTCATTTCCAGTACTTCCATGTTCATCCCTTTAAAAACAGGTGATTGACACATAGTACCACTGTTCTGTTCAATGGACTGAAAGTTGTATATCTAACTACGAAAAGAGCTAGTAACATACAGAGGCAAATATAAGAGGAATACATATCTGCTTCAAACAAAAAATTTCAGGGCATTAAAATTAAATACAACATAAAGTTCATCCCTCCAAAAAAGATCTTAACCTCAAAATGCAAAGACTGTTACCAAGTATTCTACTTGCTCATAGTCTGCAGCTATGCTGTGAGAGAACACATAATTTTTTTAAACAATGAAACCACCTGTACAATTTATTACATGGTGTAAACATCAATAGCCTTGAACATGTGGTTTCTCAGGATTGAAGACGTAAGTGCCATAATTCTCTGGTTACATTATTAAGATTCAAGTCACCCAGCTCCTTATGGCTATGGATAACATCTAATCAGTTAATCAAACATAAAGCTAAACAGATAATTGGATGTCAAAATCATTAATCTTACCTGAGAGGCAGATGTATGTTAAATATTCACCCTGACCCCCAGTAGCTAGGAAAGGAATCTTTTTTTTTGTTCTTCTCTTCACTTGGACAGCTCCCAGCATCCTTTCATCGTGTGGGGCAAAAATTTCTTTGCTGATTGCAGACTTGGCATTCATTGTAGATCACAGATAGAGTAGACTGCTGCTCTCTAAAAATAAAATTTAAAAAAATATCAGAAACTCCTAAGTTATGTGGAAGTCCAGTTAACTTACACATGTGTTAGCAGCAATGACCTTCAAATAAAGTTTTTATAGATTCCTAGACTTTAGAAGCTAATTTCAGGCACTTAGAGGAATAATTTTCAAAGTATCTAAGAGTCTTCACTGAAGTTGTTCTCCATGCTTCTTAAATTCTCTTAAACTAGCTTAGCTTATTTTGGGCAGAAGCTGTCCACACTAGCTCTTCAGTATGATGCAAAAATCTTCTCAGAGAGATATCCTGTTACTTCATGCTGCATAAAAGCTTCATTAATTCCCTCTCTGGTAACTGGAGGGAAACTCATCTGTCCCACATAGACAGGGAAAGCACTGCAAGGGCATAGGGGAAGAAACACTGTGCTTGTGCTGGCAGACCGGTCTCATTCACAGAAGATGCAGAAAGCTTCATACTCAGTAAGACTGTTCACTTGAGGAGCACTGCTCTTGGTGACAGTACTTGATTAAGCAGCTCCTGCACTTCTTGCAGCTTTAGCACCCTCATCCCCTTAACTCCTCTGTAATTATCAACTGGGCAACTGCACAGGAAACAGCGTCAGAAAAACCATCAAGGTTAACGCAGACAAAACCACACCTCCTCTTTTCTCCTAAGTAATTCTGACCCAGGTCAGTTCCTCAATGTTTCATAAGAAAACAGCACAGTTAACCTAGGAGACATTTGGAGAGGAAAAAAAACTGTAGAGAACAGGGAGGGAGAAGGAGGGAAGCTGCTTATTCAGGCGTGTCCAGCAAAGAAAAGGTCAATCTGACCACAGCTTACAGAGGAGCCCAATTAAAGGAGAGAGAATGCAGTTACAAAGGGGACATTAACAGGCTCTTTATGTAGACAGCACCACAGTTATAACTTCAATTAGTTCTGCACCGAAATCTGTTAATAAGTACATAGGTACCACTGATACCGACTGTGGAATGCCCCTTTAAATTGTTCAAGTATAATCATTCTCCAAGACACATGTGTTAAATTCCTCATCTCCATATTATTAAGACTTTCAAGCCCACAGATCTTTGACACCCTTAGCTTTCTTAGTAGAAGTAAGATCATCTTCAGGTCTCAACTACTGAAGTCAGATATTCTGCCTGTGGAATCATTTGATACTTGCCACAACTTAACTATTAGAAAACACAGATAAATTCCAGTTAAAATTAGATTTTGAAGCCAAAAGAGTCACAGAACCATTATTTTTAATGTGCATAATACCAGCAGAGAAGTTGTCTTAACACTTCCAGTCTCAACATTTTGTTGGTACTTATTTATGATATTCCCTTATGTTAAAAAAAAAAAAAAAAAAAGAACCACCATATTCACAGAGGCATGAGGGAACACAACTTAGCCAAACTCAAATTCACCACCTACTTATTCTAGGATGCAAATAGAATCCTCTGCCAAAATACTCTGTAATGATATACCTCAGGTAACTAACAGAGGTATGTAAATTCTGAAAAGTTTTATCATTAAGTCATGTTTGCCTTTACAAAAAAACAACTGCATTTAAAAAGTGGTCCCATCAAAAGAAAAATCCAGACCAGTTTCAAAGACAACCACCCAGCTCCTGAAAAGATACGATTTTGTAACTTCTGCTATGTAAGTTACCTACCCCTTAACAACAAATACATCAACATGAAAACAGAATCAAAATGATAAATTTGTCTGCTAGTTACTCAGAAAAGGTTGTTTTCACATTCAATGTTCATTACACCACAATTTTCTCCTCTTCTGTGTTATGCAAATATTTGCAGTATATCTTATGGAAGATGTTGACACATTATAACTAGGTGGTTGGCTTTTTGGTTGGTTTGGGTTTTTTTGTTTTTGTTTTGTTTGTTTTTTTTTTTTAATTCAAGGCCACTGTCAACAACTATGTGTTTAATCAGACCTCCTCCTGAGATAGAGACTGATAATCTTTGGAAAAATAACTTCTGTCTCAGACCTCTACATGCTTAAAGAATTTTCAAGAAAAAGCTTATTGGGAACACACACACAAATGCTGTCAGGTAAAAATATACTCAAGTTACTCCCAACTGAAAAAGTGTTCCCCAGCTTGCAATGATCTAATGCTGTTAATTGTTTTAACTGACTTGTTGAATAGATGTTCTCAAACACTTTCTTGAGACTCACACACTGCAAAATAAAGTGTGATTTCAAAGATATACTCAGTGATGTAAAGGCTTCCTGGGTTAAGAGAAAATATAAATTTTCCTTACCTACAGTTGATTGTAGCAGAAAATGTTATTGGTTTATAGGTTCAAAACTTTCATGTAGTACTTCAAGGTTTACTGTAAGGATATTACAATCAATCGGTCTCACTGTATATAGCTGCATTTGATAAGACTCTGCTGAACAGGAGGCAAGCCAAACAAGACCTAACTAAATCCTATTTCATAGATATCCCAAATTTTCCTTCATATGTGCATTACAACACAAAACTAGAATGACAGCTACACATGCAATAATCCAAAACAAATTCAAAACCTAGATTTAATTAACATACCTCTCTATGTATACAAACATTTCTATTACTTAATGCAAGTGCTTTTATGCACAATCAACATACAAATACAACTTTAAATAAAGACTGGCTCAACACAGTAAAGGCAGATTAAATCTCCTGTTTCAGTAGAAACACAGAAGACAACACAGAACAATCAAATATTGCAGTTCATGGCTGCATGCTCTTACTTGCTTTGTGATTAAACTGGTTTTATATACATCTACCAGAAGTTGTACACAGACACAGTAGACACCCATCATTGTAAATGGAACCTCGAACTAAAGTATGCACTCACTGCCTAGGAGGTTGTGATCCTTCTGTTCCCAATACCTGGTTTACAACAGCCTCAGATGCCAGAATTAAGCAACTAATCTGATGCAGTGTACTTGACATGATTGCTGCATCCAATGTGGAAACTGACACTAGCACAAAACACAAAAGTCTATTTAAAAAAGAAAACAACTAATTGTGCCTGTGTGCAGGCAGACTTGCACACTTAAGCTGTCAGTATAGTTTGGATGAAGTTATTTTTCATAGGTCAAAAAAAAATCAGCAGCTAGCTGGATTTAAATAAGCAACCTTCTCATATTTACTGGCAGATATGTGCAAAAGACCTTTGCTTAAGTAAAACATTACAGTGTTCCTCTTTTCCAAGAGCAGACATAATGCAATCTTTTTCTTAGTTTTACTAAAAAAAAAAAAATATGTTAAGACTTGCTCAAGAAACATGAATAAGTCTCAACTTTTCCCATTTTCCAACAAAAACACTTCGTCTCATAGAAAAAAAACTAAAAAAGGATGCTGGCTGTACATGCACAATTTCATGTAGTACAACATGCCGATTTCCTTACACAGTAACATTTGTTCTTGGCGCACATTTCAAGACAAATTCAAACCATCATCAGTTTCCATCCACAGCCATGTGGACTCACACACTGGAATGCAAACTGTCTCCCCCATGCTTGAATAAGAAATACCTCACAGAAGAAACTTTTACTGGAGAATCTCTGAGCACTCCAAGATAGTGTAAGACTTTTCACAACATTTACCCCTCTAAGGCAAGGGGGATTTAAGCGTTTCAGTAAAAGTAAGTCTTTGAACAAAGCCTGCATTTCTTGCCTCACACACTTTTTGTTCCACATATTTAATTCCAGTCAAATCATTATAATGATGCTTTTGGCTGAACGAAGAAAATTCCATTTTCCTGCCACAGTTTTTCACTCCAACCATCACAGCATTATGGAAGAAGATGTAAGCATTTACTCTGTGCCTCCAGCGTCCAACAGAAATGCCAAGAGGGAGGATTCCTGTGTAGATTTGAATTCGTGCCTGCAATACACTCCTTATTTGCATCTCCTCAAATCTTTCTGTACTGCAATTATTCTGCATGATATTTCTATCGCTAAAAACTCCTCCTAGGAACAGCTGACCATTCACCTATAAGTGTGTGAGGGGACAGTGTTTAAAGGTTTCTAAACACACACAAAAAACCCCAACACAAAACACCATCAAAAAAACCCCCACAAGTAAAAAAACTAAGATACTTAAGCTGATATCTTCAGAGATCCCACATGTTCAGTAACAGAAAACTGTTTTCTGGTCAGCCAGAATCTCAAGACTGTTTTCAGGCAGACAGCCAGCAAGCGGCTGACTTATCTTCACATCCAGATGTTTTGTAGGACTATGCAAGTGGGAAAAAAAGGTATCTACAGTATCTTTGTTGAGGTACTGGTATACAGCAACAACTGGGGAAACTAATCCTCAGCATGCAGAATATTAGTAAATTAGAAAGGAGAAATGAGATAAGGAGAAGGAAGAGCAAGTGATGTTTTCCCAAAAAAGAAAAAAATGTTCAGTATGTTAAGTCTTGATGTTTTCAAAGATCTTTAGTTTAATCACAAACAGGGATGGGCTTACAGAACTGGCTAACCACTGAAATGTTCCCTGCAGTATGAAATCATCTGAGCAACCAACTACTGTTGGGCTGTGCTGGTAGCTCTAGCAAGCACTCAAATCTGCTTTTAATAAAGCCACCATCCTGACAGAGAACGTCTACCTTAGAAAATCATTGCAAGAGACCATTATTAAAAGCCCAGGTTCTGTTGTTGTGATAATTGTCTGGTGTTTACTTACTCGAAGAATTGAGACTACATATTTGATCATTACCATTCAAAATTCTGTATTTGTTGTTATCTTAAATAGCTAGTACAACTTTGGAGAAGCACAAAATCATTACTAAACCAAGGCAAGTAATTTATAAATCCTTAAAAAGCACATACTAAAACATACAATTTCTGAAGTTGCTTTGCAGTAGATTTATTACACTTAAATCTATCCTACAGGAATAACACCGAGTTTAATTAGCTCTGCAAACAAGGATTAAACCAGTAGATCAACCATACTCTAAAACAGTTGAGGTAAAATCTTTAAGAGGCTTGAA